AATGCTTACAAATACGCAGCCTCTCAAGATGCTCTATGAACCAAACTTTGCTAAACACTTGTTTCCTCCTAGAAGTGCATTAAATATTTAATACATATTCATTCTGTATGTGACCCAGGCCCTTGGGGGCTGTCCTAGAAGTCACAGGTGAGGCTCTGAGCTTGGTTAGATCAGAGTTTTGAGAACATGCTGAAGACTCTGCCCTTCTTGTTCATTATGCTGGAGGTAAAGGTGTACCTAGAAATCAGGGGATACAAGGGTGGGGAGGTGATGGCAGAGAGGGCCTTGCTTTTGCCAAGGGGGTTGGCATGAGGGACGCTGCCAGAGTCAGGTCACGTGATACCAGGTGCTAGCTCCCTCTATGCAATCATCAGGACACTTGGAGGAAGGGCCTGTCTGGGGGCCACAAGGAGAGGACAGCTGGTGAGACAGGCTCTGCAGCCTGTGGGGGACGGAGCAACAGGACCCAAAGGTGTAGGGACAACAGCTAGGAGGAGAAAGGAGGCTCCCAGGATGAGGAGGAGTCCAAACGGGGCAATGTGGATGCAGACGCTATGTCGGCAGCTCCAGACCTTGGTTACCCCACCTGCAGCCATTGGGGTCCCCAGGCTCACCCCCCTCCCCAGGCCCCCATCATGAGACCCTGGAGCCCCAGCAGTCACAGCAGTTTATTAGCAGCAATGGGGCACCATGACAGTCAGCAGACCATGAGGGGAGCGAGGTGGGGTAGCCAGGAGCAAAGTGGGTGCTGAGGTGGAGGCCTGGTCTCCTGGGCCTCAGGTTCCCTCCTGCCTCTCTGGGTCCAAGGAATGGTGGGCTATCCAACAGTGGTTTCGGCTGGGTCTGCCTGGGCGGGAGAGGAAGGTCCCTGAAGAGCCTGGACTAGTGGCAGTGATGGCTGCTGGGGCCACAGGGGCCAGCCCAGCCTCAGAGGAGCAGGGGCTCCCCGAGCACCCTAGAGACTTCAGATAGGCAATGACGGGCCAAAGCCTTGTCAGCTCAGGACTTCTGGACCTCCCTGTCCCTGGTTCCCCCAACTCACCCAGCCCAGGAGAAAGAGACCCAGGCCCCGCACACCAGCGAGAGGAACTCAGGTGAAGGGCCGAGAACACACTGGGAGTCTCCAAGCACCTGTCAGGGGGCTCGGCGAGGGAGTGTGGGGCAGGCCTCACATCTGCAGCTCCAGGAGGTGGTTTGGCTCCAAGGGAGGGGAGCTGGCTGGGCTGGACCTGTGGGCCTCTTGGAGGCCCTGCAGCACCTGGAGAAGCTGGGCCAGTGGGTCCTCAGTGGCTGGAGGCAGACACAGGATGAGGGCAGAGCAGGCAGGGCCTCACCCGCTGGCCCCCGTCCTGAAGGCCTGAGGGGCCCTGGGCGGGGAGCCCTCGCACAGCATCCCAGAAGGGGGCTCAGGCCACCTCACGAGTGCAGACAGGAGGGCCCTACCTTCGCCAGGGCCTGTAAGCACAGAGTCTGTCTCTCTGCTGGCACTCGGCTCCTGGTGCTTCTCCCTGTCAGGAGGACAGAACAAGGGCTCCTACTGCCTTTGCAGGGAAGGCTGGGTGACTCGTGTGGGCCTGAGCTGGAGGGGGCCCCTGGGGCCAAGAGGCTGACTCAGTCTGTGGGCCCCTGTCTCAGCCCCAGTCACCTGTCTTCCCTTTTCCAGCCTCCTTCTCTGCCCCACCCCACCCCCACCCCTAACCACCATCACCAACTGTGGGTCAGTGGAAGGCACTTTGGAAACCAAGCTTGAATCGTGTCTCTCCTGTTTCAGAGGACCCCTGGGAAAAGAGCCAGTTGGGGCCTGAAAATCCTCTAGTATTACTCGGTCATGGAATGAGTTTCCTTCTCTGAGAATAGCAGACAGTGACATTTTAAGCATGATTCCCAAATAGGGTTCACCAAAGGTCCCTGGGCCTCTCAGGTACTATCCTCTGTGTGCTTACACAGAAGGAGGGTTGAGCAGCCACAGGGACCCCATGCTTGAAGTTCCTTATTTAGGAATTCTACTGGCTCAGCCTTTGGCTACCTCCCTGATCTATCTGGGGAGAGATGCCTCCCCCCACGAAGGTCTGACTGGCTCCTCCGCAGATGCCTTCTAGACCCTATGAATCAGTTCCTTACTCTGTCAGCTCATTTATTTACTCAATGTCAACTGTAAGACAGTAAATCTGTGCTGCTTTAAGCTGCCACATGTACAGTAACTTGTTACAGCAGCCACGGAAAACATTCAGCAGGGGGCCACGGACAGGCAGTGGGGTTACTGGATGGATGAGTGGTGCTGATAGAGGACATGAGCTGGAATGAGAAGAGGGGCGGCCAAGGGGTTCTGGAGGTGGGGAGGTGCTCAGGGCAGAGTGTAGTGGTTACGGCCACAGGCACTGGCTCCATGGTGGGACCCACCTGAACTCAAGGTGCCTTGGGGGGTTGGATCTTGACTGCCACTTCCTGGGTTAAATGGGAGATAATAAGAATATCTACCTGGCTCAGAGGTTGTGAATATTAAATGACTTTGTACATGAAGGACAATTAAATTGGAGCCTGGAAAAGTATGGGGTGCAGGCAGGGCAAGTTCCAGGATGTGGCCAATACAGTAAGGGTCTCTGGAAGTGTGGGTCTCAGGAGTAGACCCGATTGGGTAGCGGCTTCTCCTCTAGGTGAAGGATGAAGTCGCTAAGCAATGGGTGGGAAGGGGTGGGGAGGGAGTTGGTGACAGGGCCACACTGTCAGAGAGGAGGTGGCTGCTGAGTGTCCTGGGGGTCACTGGTGACTGTACCTCACAGGGGAGCCGTGGTTCTAGTCTGACATGAGCTTTGAAGGGTGTGAGGGAAAAGATAAACCCTAAAGAATCCATGAGGAACTAGACCCCCGGTGTGGGGCTGTAGGGGCCAGGGGCCAGAACTGCCCAGTGTGAGCAGGCTCGGGGGAGTACTTTTAGGAAGCATCAGATTGCTTTAGTGTATCCCAATGCTGGACGCACCCAGAGATTCTGAATCAACTGAGTAGGGCCTAGGCATCCTGTTTTTAAAAACATCCTGTTTTTTCTAAGCTGGAGCCAGGACTGACAACCACTGAATTAAGTGAGATGAGTGAGGGCTATCCTTGCCCTTTGAGGGCAGCATGGAAAGGCTGGGTCAGCCGGGGGCAGGAAGCATCCACAGCCCTGACCCTTGGCTTCTGCAGCCTTTGGGACCTACATCCAGACATGAGCCCCCGTTATGTTGCACAGCTCCAGGTGCCCCTCCCCAGGTGTGGCTGCAGGAAGGAGCTGGGCCTGATTAGGAGGGAGTGGGCTCGAGTCCCAGCTCTGCCCTGCTCCCAACTTCCTGGGAAGCATAAGCCTCCTCACCGCAGCATGGCCTCCATGCCCAGCAGGTGCTGGTAAATGAGCTGGGCCTCCAGCTCTTGGTCAAGAGGGTCATTCCACTCCTGCAGGGTCACTCGTGACCGCGTCTTATCACAGCCCAGATCTGGGGGGGCAGAAAGAGGGCAGAGTTGCGGGCAGGGGCAGTGAGACTCCTGCCCAACTTCCTGATGGTGCCAAGGGGAAACTCGAGAGGAGAGGGGTGACCTCAGGGGTCCCCAGTGCACAGCTGGCAGCACAGCCTGAGAGTCTGGCCCAGGGTTTCCCACACTTCCCGGGGCTCTTGAGTTCAGGCCCTGAGCAATGGGACGCCTGAGTACAGAGCATGGGACTTGTGCAAGATACAACTCAGGGAGCTGGACAACTTTCTGGAAGGCTGCCTGTCCGGAAGTGGGGAGTGGTCTGGGACTAAGATCATGGTGAGGGGAGCTGAGAGGTTTTGGGCCTTGGAATGAGCCAGCCCTACCACTTGCTGGCTTTTTGCCCTTGCTAAGCCTCAGTTTCCTTCTCCATAAAATGGGGTTACTAGGCCCTGACCCGTAGTGCCCTGAAAGCCCCATTTCACCAATGACAAAGGTTGTTACCATGAAGGTTAGAGCCAGTGGCTGCAGGTCAAGCCAACCAGCCAGTGATACCCTGGTAAAGAGTTGCCACTACTTGACCTCAAATCCAGGGCAGGGCCAAAGCAGGTGGATCAGCTTCTGAGGGCCTCCACCACACCACGCACTGGGAGTCAAGGCTTGGCATGGCCGGGAGGCCAGGCACTCCAAGCAATGTCTCAATTTTGTAAAGCAGGTACAGATAAGGGAGGAATACCTGGAAGTTCCAGAACTGTGCCATCTAGTAGGGTGGCCACTAGCCAGCCACATAAGGCCATTTTAATTAAAATTAAATAAAATTAAATTTAAAACACTAGTTCATTGTCCACACTAGTCACATTTCAAGTGCTCAATAGCCACATGGGCTGGGGACTAGCATATGTGTGGTACTGGAAGTACAGATATACACCATTTCCATCATCACGAGAAGTTCTTGTAGAAGCTCTTCTCTGCCATCCCTCTAGTGCCCAAGGCCCATGGTCCCCCATCACCCACAGCTGCCCTATCAGGCTGCCAGCGTGGGAGTGTGCAAACTCAGCCCCACCATCAGCAAGCAGTTCCTAAAGTGTGTTCCTGGAACATGGGTTCTGCAAGATGCTCACACATTGGCAAGGAAAGGGTTCCCTGTCAAATGGGTTTGGGAAGTGCTGACTTAATCTGTGTTAGAAATGGGACCTAACTCCTTTTCAGGCCTGCTCAAGCTTTCAGCATAGCCCCAAGCATCACAAACACGACAGGGCATTTCCCTAACTACCCGGTCACAGAACCCTCCTGTCCAGAGCACCTGGAGGGCTGGTGTGCGTCAGGTGAGCGCCCCCAGTCACACAGGGGCTTCCCAACCAGCGACCTGAGGCCCACGAGCAGGCACAATGCAGCAGGGCCCGGGTGTCACTCCCACCTGTCTTGTCCTTCTGGTGACAGCAGCTCCACTTGTCCCCACGGAAGACGCCGGGGTGGTAGGAGCCCAGCAGGCCACTGTTGTTGATGCTCACCTTCCACAGCGCCGACAGCCACTGGTTCAGTTCATTCACACACTGCCGGGGCACGGGAGCACTGATCTCTCCCTGAAGGGCTCACCACCTTCAGGAAGTCCTCCTCCCTGGAGCCATTGTGCCGCTCAGAGTGACAGGACCCTGCCAGCCCACTCAGCAGCTCCGAGTGGATTAGGAAAGGCTGCCCTGTCTCCCGATGGACAAACACAGCCCATGCCAGGCACTTGGCTTGGTGAGCAGAGAATGGACCAGATTTTGCCTACCACTGGGACCCCAGCCTTCACGTGCCCTTGGCAGTCCACAACCTGACAACTATATGTGGTAGCCCTGCTGTCACCATTGTTTCCCTGTGGCTCTGGGCTCGGACCCAATAGGGAGTCCCTAGAGGGTGGGACCCCATGGATCAGATCTGTGACCTTCTACTGGCCACCCCAGACAGTCACTCCTGGGAAGAAGCCAAGTGCCCCCCACCCCCCAAACTTTGGCCTCCCTGTTCCATGTATGCCTCCCCTGGATGATTCCTCCCTCACAATGTTCCTGCGTAAATGCCCCCGGCCAGGGGCCCTCCATGACTGCCCTTTATAGGGCAGCAACCCTCCCTCTGTACTCCACACTGTCCCCTCCCTCTCTTAGCCTCCTTGGGTTCCCTTCCCCACTGGACATTTTAAATATTTATCAGTCCATCTTCCTCCCTGGGGTATAAGCTCCACAAGGGCAAGGACTTGATTTTGCCTGCCACTGCACCCCACTTTGAATCATGCCTGGAACCCAGTTGGTGCTCAATAAATACTTTTTAGATGAATGAATGAATGAATGCATGAACAGAAGAGAAGGGGACTTGAGACCATGCACCCAGAGCCACACATGGGCACAAACGTTTGACTGCTGTGTGGTGATACACACAGGCAGCAGCTCAGATCTTTGGAAGTAGTTTCCCACAAATTAGTACACTGCAAAGCTCTGGATCAAGGGACATTCCCATCCACACACTGGACTACACACAGGTCTATGTGCAGGTGCCCAGCAGGCCTATGGGAAGACATAGACATGGCCCACCAGGTACCCAGAGTGCAGGAGAGACAGAGGCCCCCCCACACGTGCATGCGCTGCACTGCTTTGCCTGACGTGGCTGATGAGGGGGTGGGAGACTCCCTCCAGTCCACCTGGACGATTTCCACAGCACTCTTCCCCTCGGCACCCCTCCAAATGGCCCACACCTTGCACTGCAGGTAGGCAGTCTGGGGCCTGCCCGCATCGTCCGTATAGATGACCTGCATGATGTGTGAGCTGCCGAAGCTCTTCTCCTCCACTTTTTCTGCTGCCCGGATGTTGGATAACTTGATGAGGGTGCTTTTCTGGGACAGGCAGGGGAAGGGAGGCTCAGAGTCCTGGCCGGGGCCATTCTGCTTCTTATCTCTGGGCCTCAGTCTCCTCTTGTGCAGCATGGGTTGGCATAGGGAAGCTGGGGTGCCTAACCCCCCCGGGAGCCTGCTCTGCAGTGACCTCAGCCAAGACAGAGTGCAGACAGATGGTGACCAAGTGCTCTGCCTCTCAGCAGCTTCCACCGTCTTGGGAGATCAGAGCTTTGGAAAAGCTCAGCACTCCCTGGGGCTGGAAAGTACTGCCTGTCATGGGCCAGGCCTTGTGCCTCTGCAATTACTCATTTCCCAACTCTCCTCTATCTTCTCAGGCTTTAAAAGTCACAGCCCATCTCCTGCCCTTCCCCAACTCCCGCCCATCATTGAATCTGATGAGATCCAAATGGGACACAGAAGCTCTGAACCTAAAACATCCATGTCCGCGGGGCCCCCCATCCTGCTAAGGCTGCATCTCCGAGCTGCAGACCTTGCTCTCCCTGCCTCTTGACTCTCGCGTCAGAGCTCAGGAGGCCCCCTCATCATCCAGGTGGGTGGTCCCCATGGCCCTTGGGATAACACCCACTCCCCAGCCAGGCATCCAAGCCCACCACCCCTGCTGGCCTCAGTGACAAGTGGAGGGAACAGTACCATCTCTTGGGAGAAATAGGGGAACCTGGATGGGAGCCCTGGGGACACATGTCTGAGCCATCTCAGGGTGGGACCTCCCAAGGGACGAAGGAACAGTCCAGAAGACACACTGCTCTGCTGGGGAGGACCTGTGGACAGGAGGCAGCGGGTGGCAGGGGGCGTAGTGCTGCACAAGGGGATAGACGGGACGTGCCCAGGGAAGGGCACAGCTCAATGTGCAGGAAGGGAGAGGGGCCCAGAGCAGGGCATGGGAGGACCCTGCTGGGTGGCCAGGCTTTGCTGAGGTTGCAGAAAATGCTGAGGGGACCCAAGAGCCCAGCAGTCACCTACAGAGCAAGAAGCTGGCAAGTGGGAGCCCTAGGCTGATGGGTCACCCAGAGAGCTCCTTCACCCCCCAGCCCCCCAGCAGCTGCTCAGGGCTGGGTTGGGCACCCCTGGAAGACCATCCCCAGAGCCTGGCTGACTGGGAGTCAGGTCAGCCCAGCTAGGGGTCAACAGGTCCACCCAGGAGGTATGTGCTAATACGTCCTCTTCTTGGGAGAGGGCCACTCACAGGAGGCCAGCCCAGGGGATGTGGTGTCTCTAGCAACACCACGGGCCTAGATCCCACTCTTTGCCTGGCCCTGGCTCTGGCCCCTTAAAGAGACCATCTCATCTAACTCTGAACAACCTGGTAAGTAGAGACCATTGTCCCTAATTTATAGGCCGAGACACCAAGGCTCAAACAGGTTGAGATACTTCCCCTAGGTACACAGGGCTGGAACCCAGGCCTCCTCTCAGTCCCTCTCTGCTCTCTGATCACCCTGAGGCACCCCTCAGCCCCTGCACCCCACGCATGAACCTGACCAAGAAGCCAGGGCTGAACACTACAGCCACTGGCTGCTCCATGTCCCCTGGGCAGAGGAGCCTCTTCCTCATCAGTGTTAAGTGACCTTGTGGCTGACACCAGGACCCTGGATCCTGCATGGATTTCTTCTCTGACCCCGGTGGGTCTGGGGAAGGCACAGGTGCCTCCAGGGTGTTATAACGCCTCGGAGCCACACCTGCCCACCTTCTCCCTTACTCACCTTGGAGTTGGGCGTCTTGGCGAAACTGAGGGCCTCCGTGGTGAGGGAGAAGTGGAGCTTCTTGAAGGAGGACATGAGGGGACCCTTGCCCTTGGTCTTGTGGATGAAGAGAGGCCCTTCTTTCAAGGGCGGTGCCTGCAAACTCAGTGCCTGCTGCAGGTCCAGCTCTGCTGGGCAGGGGAGGGAGGGCAAAATGAGAGCCTGGGTGTGAAGACAGGGCTGGGGTGAAGCCAAGGGGATCAGGAGGCTGTGGGAGAAGCTGTGAGGGGCACAAGCTGCATGGGGCGGGGCTATGGAAAGGGTGGGACAAACGGGATCTAGAGACTGTGGGCGGAGCCACTGGGGAAGTGCTAACCCTCCTTCTCCTCGATGTCCACCAGCTTGGTGATGAAGTCCTTCAGCTGGGCCACCCCGTGGTGCACGGTGGGCTGCAACGGCTCCATCCAAGCCTCCTTGGCTCTGGAAGCCGGCGTGTCCATGTTGCCCACGTTCTGGACGGCCTGGGAGTGATAACAGGAAGGGCCAAGCTCTGCTGGGTCAGGGGCTAGGCTTCTGCAGACCCCCACCCCCAAATCTGTGCTATTCTCACTGCAGAAATGGAAGCAGAGGCAGCCAAGACTCTGCTCTCGTGCCATATCCAGCCCCACTAGGAATCAGGCGCTAATGGATCACAGTTTGAGGCCTTTCAGGGCCTGATTGTTGAACCTACTGACCTTCCTCTGCAAGTTTACTATCAGACTCTGCTCTTCTCGGTACCCCTGCCCCAGCCTGGTGCCAGGCAAACAGGTGCAGCCTGGGAGTATGTAGACCTGGGGGTTAGCAGGCCCCCACTCACACTGACAGGCCGTGCGGCCTCGGGCAGCCTCCTTCCCTTATCCATGAGATTAGGTGACCGCGAGAAAGCTTTACAAACCGTGGAGCACGGTACCGAAACAGAGTACTAGTGACCTCGCCTCAGGTGTTCCTGGAACCAGCTGAGCATACACTGCAGTCCAGCAAGAGCTCCTATTCAGGACACAGCTGGGCATCCCATCCCTCCAGTGCCCACAGGCCCTACCTTGGCCAGCAGGAGCAGGGTGCGGCTGGTGCGGGCGTCCGCGTGCCGCTCCCGCAGGTGGAACAGCTTGGGCGCCATGATGGCGGGAGAGAAGAAGCGCAGGCACAGGAAGCTGGTGACAGCGATGAACGGCACGTTCTGGTGGGGTGAGGGAAAGCAGGGGGCTGGACTCCCCTAGGCCAGGGCTCCTGTCAGCCCTCTCCCCTTTGACACTGCCCCACGTTGTGCAATGACTCTGACCTTCGGACCGTCCCTGTCCTTGGCTTCTAACCGCCCCTCCCACCGCCCCTGCCCCCGACTCCCGGGGTCCCACAGCAGCCTTCCCCCACTGCCTCGCCCCACCAGCAGAGGGCGCACCTCGTGCTGGGCGCTGGGGAAGCGCTCGCGCACGCGTAGAAAGAGCTGGCGGAAGGTGGCGCGGACCACGGCTGGGCATGCGCGAACCGAGCGACTGAGTGCGCTCAGCAGCGCCCCCAAGTGGGCTCGCAGCGTCTGCGCACTGTGCTCCAGCACCTCGGCCTCGGTCTGTGGGCGGTGCAGCCCGGTGCACCTGGAGGGTTGGGAGGGCCGCAGGGAAGATCGAGGTCAGCGCCGGCACACACGACTCGCACAAGGGCTCCCGGCGACAAGTGCAGAAAGGCATCCGCCAGGGCAGGGACACAGAGATAACGCACGGGTGGACAAAGACAGACCCAGGCAGGGCCATAAACATACTCTTGCAGAAAGGGCCTGACCCTCCCCGCCCTTGCCCCTGTACTCCCAGGGGTCACCCTGGCCTCACCCTACATCCTTGACCTCCACTTTGCTGGGGTCCAGCTCCACATACTTCTTCTCCTCAAACACCTTGTCAATGATGGGGCCTAGGACGCTGTGCAGATACCGCATCCCAGCCACCTGGGGGCCACCACGAGCCTCATTGGTCCTGCCCCCCACTGCCAGCTGCCTGCCATCTCCCCACAGCGGGCCTCCCAGTCACCTCGAGCACCACCCGCCCACTGTGTCCATCCAGAAGAGAGGCAGGCACACCAGGGGAGGGCGGCTCAACAAACTGTTGCTACAAGAATTAATGAAATTCTTAGCATTAAAGGGCACTGGACACAGAGACAGAAGACACAAGTTGAAGTTCCAACTCTGTCTCTTGGTCCCTCTGAACCTCGGTCTCCTCATCTACAAAACAAAGGCAATATACCATGCAACTTCACCTTCAGAAAAGACTCCATGGACTTTGAGGCCAGAGAGTTGCTCCGGAACAGGGTGTTGGCCTCACCTACAAGCAGAGATTCCAGTGGGTAGGGAGTTGGGAGAGAAACAAGGCTTTGGGGAAGAAGACAGAGCACCTGGGGGCTGGAAACTCTAAACTGGCATCTCAGTAAAGAGCTTCCTCACTATCTTCCAACCCACGGCCCCACCTCTGCCTTCTGCTCTTTCCTTTACCTCCTAATCTGACACTTCTCCTCCTAATTGGACCCATTAGCCTCCTACAGGAGGACTTCTTGGATTTCTCCCCTCCCGTCATCTCTGAAGACCTTGGCTCCTGCTGCCCTCTCCACCAGGCCCTCAGATAGGCCACTCCCTCCCAGGCCTCACTGGTGCGGCCCAGCTCCAGCTGGAAGAGCAGGTCCAGAAAGTCTTTAGCCAGTCCCTGCCCCAGGAAGATCTTGAGCAGGCTGGTGGCCACGTCCTGGCGGCACTCGGTGCTCGTTGTCTCCTCAATGAGTGGGATCAGCTGCCCTGGGCCCTACAGGAGGCAACAAAGAGAGGCAGGGTTGGGGGACACACGGGGGAACCATTTACACTGAGGATCTCAGAGGACCATGGGGAGATGGGGGGCGCCTCCCCAAGGGATGTCCAGGGTTCCCAGGCACTGGCTCCTTCCTTACCACCCTGAGCACTCAGGTGTTTGCTCTTCACAGTGGGTTTAGGACAGGGAGGACAGGCCGACTGTTCCTGGACCCTCCCACCTTCCCTCAGGGCCTCCTCACCTGGGTGCCCAGCTTCACCTCATGGCACAGCAGCTGCACCAGGGGCTGGTAGCAGCCAGAGGGCAGAACTGTCTCATCCCGCAGCCGCACCTCCAGCTGCAAGGAGCCCAGGTTGCCCCTGGAATGGGCAGCCTGTGACCTCTCCACCAGGGACCTAGGCCACCATGGGCCATGCCGCCGCCCCACTGTGTTCACCCTCCCCACCTTGGGGCCAGCGTTAGTCTCTCTCAGGCCCTCCTCCCTGGGTCCCTGCACTGCCCCATCTCCCATTCAGTGCCAGGCTGTTTTCTCTGTTTACAAAGCTCCAACTCAGAAGCTGGGTCCACACTCCATCCACCTTCAAGACCTGGCTCCCTGCCACCTCTAGACTCCTGCGGACTCTGAGCATGACCCATATGGACATGCTCGGCTCCCCAGACTCAAGTCTGTAAACTCCCAGGGAGCATCTTCTTCATGTAGACACTTTACATTGGAAGCAAATCCCCAACCCTCATGACAACTGGCCTGGGGAAACTGAGGCTCAAGCAGGTTAAGGAATTTGCCACCTCCTCTGCTCTGATCCACTCCTAGTGAGGGCGCTGACCAAGACTCAAGTCTCTAGGCCCTTGCTGCCTGAATCACACCACGAAGTTCACGAAGTGATGCTGCTCAGCATGCAGCCTTTGGCTGCTTCTATGGAAGGGCATTTGTGCTGGACACAGCCATCCGCCCTGCCCCTCCCCTGCTGAGGGGGCAATGGGAGGCCTGGGACCTTCTGCAGAAAGACAGGGCTGAACCATTCAAGGTGGGGGCACTGCTAATCTCCAGTTCCAAATCAAGTGGTGGGCAAGGAGGCCAGAGGGCATCCTTGATAGGGCTGCCAGATTGACCAAAATAAACACACGAGACACCCAGTTACATTTGAGTACTTTTTGAATAAGTTTGATAAGTCTCAAATATCACATGGATATATTTATACTAAAACACTATTCATTGTTTATCTAAAATGCAGTTTTAACTGGACATCCTGTATTTTATCTGGCAACACTATTTCCAAAAAATTTGGAGGAGAGTCAGAGCTGTGGCTCGGGGTCACTGACTCAGCTTTGGGGACCTGAAGTCTGGTCTGAGGTCTGCAGAGAAATCCTTAAAGGGAAAGGGCCTGAAGGCTTGTTGCAGAATCTGCTAGAAGGCACAAAGCAGGAGACCTGTACTGCCTCAGAGCATGAGGATATGGCTGAGTCCAGGAATACAAGGAGAGAGACAAGGCAGGATCTAGTGGGAGCCTTTGTGCGGTGGGCCAGGGCCAAAAGAAACCCTGCCTGGCCAGCCCACCTGCCTGCCTACAGGAGCTGACTCAGCCTCCCTGGGGCCCCGAGTCGCCAGCTGTGCCGCCACGCCTCAGGCACTCACTCTTCCTGCCGACTCTTGGACTTGTCGGGCTGCAGCCGGAACCAGCCCTCCTCCTGCTGCACTGCCCACAGTCTCTGGACATTGAACACCACCTGGGGGCAGGGAAGAGGCAGGGGGCCATGCTGGGTGCCTTCTGAGGGTCTCTGAGCACCAGTGGCTGGTTCTGGAAGTCCCAGGCCTCCTGAATGCCCCTCTTGGGATAGCTAGAGGGACAGAGTGGCAGGAACGCAGGCCAGGTGCTGAAGGTGGCCGGTGCAGCCTGAAGGGGCAGGATGCTCACTTTGCCCAGGAAGTCATTGCGGCTGACAAGGTCCCAGTCCCAGGCCTCCACGCACAGTGCCTCTGGGGCCCCCTCCTCCAGCTCAAACTCGAATATCTCATTCCAGCGTGGATAGCGTGATTTCTTCACAATCTGCTCAGAAAGGGGTAAGTGGGGATGGAGCCAACTCCACTGGGTTCCCTGGGCCCAGCCAAGAGTAGAGCCCACTTTAAACACCTCCCTTGGCTTCCCTGGAGGGGCTCTGATGCAGCTTCCCCTCCTGGGTCCAAGCATAGGCCCTGTAATAGTAGAGGTAAATACTTCCTGTCCAAAACCCTATTCACTTCTTAAGTGGGGAAACTGAGGCCCAGAGTGGGTAAGGCACTTGCCCAAGGTCACACAGCAAAAAGGTAGCAGACTGAACAGAGAACCCAGACCTTGCCACCACCCTCCACACAAGGGTTGAGTTCACCACCCAGGCAATTTCCTGCAACTGAGGGAAGCAGTGTGAGCAGGTGTTAGAGTTTGCAGATTAGCCCCCTCCTGCTGCCTCAGCCAGCCTGGCCAAGAAAGAGGGTGGCTGAGGCAGGGGTTGGTGCCAGAAGGGCTGGGACCCACTGTGCATCCTCAGGGTTGTCACCGTGCTTTTCTGAGCCTCCTCTGTAAGACTGCAGTCCCAACTTGACCTCCAAGGTAGAGGTGAGGAAGTGGGGGGGCAGGGAGGGCCCAGGCGGGTCCCTGAGCCTCCCTACTTCCTCCCCAGCTGACCAATGTCCTTACCGAGGTCTCCTGTGTCCGGCCACGGTAGCGCACTCGGACAAAGGGATCAGATGCCCCATTCCGGTCCTTGGGAGCTAGGTCCCTGGTGGGGAGCAGAGAATCCACTTGTCACCAAGTATCTCCAGGCTGTCACCCCACTACTGTGGGGGTAACCACACTAGACTGGCAAGCTGGGTGACTGTGGATAGCACCTCTCTTTTCTGGACCCTGATTCCCACAGTGTTCACCCCATGGATCCCCCAGATGGAGGCCTTGGCTTCTAGTAACTTGGCCACTGCAGACCAGCTGCTGCACCTACTCTGGGGTGGGTGGAGGAGGCAAGTGCAGCCAGGGAACAGCCCAGGCAGAAGGCCACCCCCACCCCCTGTTTCCAGCACAGCCCTGAGCAGGGACCACTTCTCTGAGCCTCAGCCTCCTCATCAGTAAAAGATAACCCCTAAAACTGAGATAATGGGCTTCTAAAAGCCCTGCTCTGAAGTATCCCACTATTTGAAGGGAGGTCTTAGTGAGCAGCCCCACTTAACCATCCTGCCCTCTCCCCAGATATAATCCTTTACTAAGCCCAAAGCTGGTGTGGCACCCAGCTTAGAACCCTTTGTGGAAGGATGAGGCCCACCCTCTTCCATTTGCTATAAATGTTATTTTCTGCTCTTTGCCACATTTTAAGTTTTATGCCTCTTGTGCCTGCTTCTCTTTCCTCCTCAGAACCACCTCAGAGAATTCCAGAGCTTGGCCTTGAGCATCTGCCGGGAAAGATGAGGAGAAAGTGTTTCTTCTGCCTCTGCAGCAAAGGCAGCTTCTTAGGCCTTCTCAGAATCCAGCAGGGGCCCGAGCTGAGGAGGAGGGAACGAGTCCCCTCCCACTCTAAAGAGAGGCCCTTCCCCGACCCAGGGGTTCACTAAGAGGCTGGGCTGGCCCAGCCACTGTGTCCTCAACAGTCTGGGCAGCGTGTGTGAGCCTCTGTGCACGTGTGTGGGCGCATGGGCATTTGTGCCACAGAGCCGGGTGCCCGCAAGACTGAGGGAAACGGGGCGGGCAGGGGGACAGCCTGAGGGAGCAACTGGGCAAGGCGGGACCCTGACTCTGCTGGAGTCCGGCCACTTTGCATCTGCCTGTGCCTCTTCCATGTTTCAGCCCCAGGACAGAAATAAAGGCCGGGCACCACAGTCCCCATTTTCAGGAGAACGAGCTTCTTCCCAGAAAGGCCAGCCTTTACCAGTGGGCCACGCTCCTACAGAGGTGCTGGCTGGGGCCGCCCTCCACCCAGAGGCAGAAAAGGACTCTGTCTTTTCTGAAGGTGGGCTGGAGCCAGAAAGGCAGGCACTTCGTGTGTGACTCACACTCAGGCCCAGACAGGAGCGGACCTGCAGCTAAAAATACCCCGGCGGGGGTGGGGGGTCCCCGTCACAGGTGACTCAGGCCCACCATGCCATCCGAGTCACTGTCCCTCCTGGGGAGAACACCACCCCTCCCATCTGGGATTTCCTTCCCCCATCCCACTGAAGATCCCCCCACACACATATCAGGCCAAGTGCATAGTGGGGTGAGACCCAGGGGAAGCCCAGTCTGGGTCCCCCCAGCTGTATGATCAGAGTCAGGGTGCCCCCCCAAGCCCACCACCCCCACTGCTCTGTGATGCCTAAACTTCCGCCCAGAGCTTCCCCCTTTCCCCCCCCAGAGGCCCACCCTCCTGAGTGCGTTCATCTGGGAGACGTCCTCAGGTGGCAGACACCTCCCCAGTCTGCCCCAAAGTGAGCCCTTGGGGGAGGAGGTGTGGGTCAGGAGGTAGAGTGGGGAGGCGGCCCGGCATCCACAGCGGGGACCCACTTCGGGCCCCCTGCCTGGCTCACCTGGCCTCCAGCACGGAGCAGCGCAGCCGGTGGGCCCGCGTCCCGGTCACCACCTCCAGGCGCAGGTGGATCTCGCCCTGCACTTCCTCATCAGGGTCGACCTCGGTCAGGTGGACCCACCCGCTGAAACCTGTGGGGCTGCAGCTCAGCCAGAGGCCTGGCCCTGGCCCTCCATGCCCTTCACCCGCAGCCCTGCCAGTTGCCACAGGGCCCAAGGCCTGCCAAGCTCCCAGTGACACTCGGGGAAACAGGCTCAAAGCTGAGCAACAGCAGTTGGAAGAGCCGAGAATTAGATTCCAAGCTCAGTGACCCGTGTCCCCACTCCTGAGCCTCACTACTGTGTCCTCATGATTGAGCTGCATTTGGCTGCCCTGACCACTCCTCATGGGACGTTCTGACCTTGGGTTCCCCACCCTAAAACAGGGGGAGAGTGGCTCTCACCTCCGACTTTTAGGAGGAGGACCTAAGTTCAGATGTGGAAGTGACAAGGGAGTGGCATGATTAGGGCCCCTGGACCCCAAGGGGCTGACCGGGGTTGGCGGCAGGGGAGGCCTGTGGCCTGGCAGGGGCCTAGAGGCTTCATGAGTCAGCAAAGTGTCCCCCCTCCCACATGCCTGCCCAGCCTCACAGACAGGAGCAGGTGCATGCTGGGGAGGCCCCGTGAGAGTCAGAGGCGCTCAGCCAACAGAACTGGAGCATCTAAGAGTTGCCGGTCTGAACCTTCATTGGCAGATGGACACTCAGCCCAGAGAAGGCAGCACCTGCCCCAGGTCACACAGCAAGCCTGGGGCAGCGCTGACCCCTCAAAACAACATCAACATCCTAGGTATCATCCAAGGGGCTCTCCAGCCTAGCCCAGCTCCAGGCCAAGCCCTAAGACTGGACAGAGCAGCACTGTGGCCAAGGCTAAGGGGACCCCAGCGGGGACCTAAGAAGACCACCCAATTGGGAGGAGGGGTCCCTATACCTCAGCTGTGGAGCATAAGGAGGCTCCTTCCTCTGCCTGCAGAGGCCTCACTTGGATCCCAACACTAGCAGCCCTCTTTGCCCTAGGGGGCTGCAGTCTCAACCCAAGGGTAGAATGGGGCACAGGGCGGAGAGGCCCTTCTGGGGAGGGGACAGCGGCTTTCCCAGAGCATGGGGCCTAAAGCAGCCTACAGGAAGGGATTCTGGGCCGGAGAAACAGGGACTGAGCAGACCAGTGGGTGGGGGGAGGAGAGGAGAGCTGTGGGGCAGGCCCTGGGTTCCCTCCAGGGATCTTACCCTTGGGGTGACTGGCCAGGGTGTCCCTGGTAAAGCAGACCTTCCCAATCACATCGTCTCGGCTGGAGGGTAGAGAGGGAGCCAGAACTGGACAGGGCTCTGCAGGGAGCCCAGGACCCTCACCAGTTCAGGGCCCCTTTGGGGAGCAGGGAAGCTGACATTCCAGCCACTTTCAGGAGCCCATTGGAGCAGAGCCCATGGCCCTTGTAGGCCGGGGATTCTGGTCACTCCCGTGGGGCATGTGATATATTTCTGTACACAGACTGATATATGTACCCCAATGACACACATGATCTCTGGCTGTCCTACCTCACACCCCCACTCACATGCCCACAGCGCTGTGCACCTGTGTCTGTATTCCCACACATGCACATATATGATGTGGTGTGAACACGGTGAAATGCACACATACCCACACAATCAAACCCTGCATCCTTCCAGACCCTTCTGGGCTCCCCTCCCTCCAGGCTGTAAAGAGGATGCAAAGTGACCAGCAGTGAACAGGCCAGGAAGGGGCAGATGGCAGGGTCTGGACCCCAGCTGCAGATGGGGGCTCACCCACCTGAGGGCATCCTCGTCCATGACGTAGAAGGCCACTGTGTGGAAGGTGGGCGGCAGGTGCACTTGATACTCCTCACCCCAGAAGGGGCACAGGGTCTTCCACACAGTGGCTGTCCTATAGGAAAGGATCCTCAGGCCCTGCCTGGGCCACCTGCAGGCCCTGGGCTGTGTGACTTAAGCCCACCTCTCTCCAAATGCCCCTCCACCTCTGGGAATAGCGACTGCTCTGTTTGATGATTTTCCCTGTCCTGGACTCCACTGTCCACCACCAATCAGTCCCTTCTGACCTTCTTCTCTGCCCTGGGTGGGGCATGGGGCTGCCTCTATCAGGCCATTTTCCATTTGGGGAAACTGAGACCAGAGTTGGCAGTAGTTGGCCTCAGGTCACACAGCAGGACAGTGGCAGAGCCAGGACGAGAAGTCTGACCTCCCAGCTTCACCCACTCCTCATGCTGAACAGACTTGCTGAAGGTGGAGGCAGGGGAATGGCCAAGTTGGCTCTGTAGCCCGAGAGTCCTCCTGGGGGGCCCAGGAGCCAAGGTCCAGGGCCTAACCCGCAGAGGTCTTGTCTGGGCAGAGCCTCAGCCGCTTTGGCCAAACTGCCCAGGGCAGAGTCTTCAACCCACAGGACTCAGCAAGGTTTGTGGATCCAGATGAAGGCTCAGGGGATCGTCTTTCACCCCAACAACTTCTCGGACAGATCACTTAAACTCTGGGGCCTCAGTTCCCGTCTGCCACAGAGACAATCGGGGCCATCACATCTCCTCCCCACTTGGTCTGGAGAAAATCTAGAAAAAGGCCTGGGGGAAGAACTGTGAGTCTGGCAGCCTGGGCCATCGGCCAGCAGCGGGTGCTGAGGGGGGCAGAAGAGCGGCATGGCTGTGGCCTTGAGCTCTGAGGCAGAGCCTGGCTGAGGGAGCGGACAGGACGGCAATGACCCTGCTGGATCACGGAGCTCATGGAGGCAGAGACGTCCAGAGGAAGTGGCCCTTCTGGGTGCAGGCTGGGGTCCCCCAGCCTGGAGAGGAGCAGTCTTTCTGGGGGATCATTTCACTCAGAGAGAGGTCCCCCAGTTATAGCAAGGACCAGAGAGGGGAGGAGGAGCTGCAGCTTTGTGGCTGCAGTCTGGCTTTGTCACTTATTAGCTATGTGACCTTGGGCAAGTGACTTAATCTCTCTGAGCCTCAGTTTCCTCATCTGTAAGTAGGACTTAATGACATTGTCTCTAGCTCATCGTGAGCACTAAACAGGCTGGAAAGGTTTAGCCTCACAGAGCCAGTACTCCCTACATGACTGCTGCTGTCACTAATCATCATCTGTCCCTTTTGGGGGCTGTAAAGATTGTAAAGTCGAGCAGCATTGGTGCGAGGCCGTTGGCAGAGTGCCCAGCCCACAGCAGATAATCCTTGGACAGGCATGAAGGTCAGTGGTTAGCAGGACAAGCTACAGGTGAATCTTTCTCACCTCCTAGCAGGTGCGTCAGGGCACAGTTGGGGGAGGGGATTAGATCCCCTAGCCATCTCCAAACAAATTTCGCACCGCTTCCTCCGACCCCAGGTGTGTGAGTTGGTATGGGCCAGAAAGGAGCAGGTGCCTCCCGGGAGCCCACCTCACCCGCCCTCGATGGGAGGCAGGTGCAGGGCGGTACCTGATGACCGGCTCATTGTCCACCTTCACAAGGCAGTAGGGGTCACTGCTGCCAGTGCTGCAAGACAGGGGAGAGGAGGGCAGATGGGGGTCCGGCTGTGGGTGAAGCCAAGGGTGGGGCCTCCCGGGAAGCTCCCCTTCTCTGGGCCAGGGGTTCAGTGACCCCAGGAAAAAGACAGTCAAGCCTGAGGCACCAGGTCCTGGGCAGGAGCCCAGAGCTCATCAGGCCAAATCATGTGCCCACCCTCAGTCTGAGAGGCGGGGCGAGGTTGGGGGAACTCCCCTGCCATTGTGCAGCAAAGGAAAGAGGCTGTTCACTGCACCCCCAACCCCCCAAAGAAAAGGATGCTTCTCCTTTCAGCCCACTCCCACGGCCTCAGCCCTGCCCACCCCAGGGAGGACACAAAGCCTCCCCAGGCATGCCCCAGATACCCGCTGCCCTCAACACCCAAGTCAGCACCTTCTCTCTCCTCAGCCTTTTCTCCTGCCATTCCTCCTGCCTGGACAGCCCTGCCACTCCTCCCAGCCTCAGCCCGCCACCCCACTAAGAGCCTGCCCTGTCCCAGAGGCAGGGAGTGAGGTCTCCCTGGCAGCCCCACTGCTGAGCCACCCCTCACCCCCATCTCAGGACTGCTAGTGATGGATGGTCACCAGCTGCCCCCACCCCCCAAACTAGGAGCTGCCTAAGGGTGGGAACCACTTCTGTGTCCCCAGGGTCTAGCACAGGACTCGGGCACAAGACGGGGTCCTGTGAGTGGATGAATGAATGAACAAATGTAACAGTCTGCCCTCCACTTGCCAGCCATCTGGCAAAGATGGAACGGGGAAGGCAAACCCAGAACTGCTTGGTTCTACTGGTCTCAGTTGCGGGAGGCGGTTCCTGGGGTGAGGGCAGCCCCGCCAGGCCCAGGACTGGTACTGGGCAAGAAGTGGGAGTGAGGCCTGTCTCCAGATGCGCCTTCAGGTCTGGCGTCTATAAAAAGGACATGGATTTGCATGTTGGAGCTAGGCAATCCCAAGGCCTGCTTCCCTTCTCAAAAGGGGCTCTTCCGGAAGAGGAAGCCTCTAAAGACAAACATCTCCAAAGGTCAGTGCCAACGGGAAATGTCTGCTAAGACTTGGCTTCCCACCCAGCACAGTGGGATGGACCTGTGATGCCAGCTCACAGGGCAGCTGCCCTGAGTCCCTGACTTGATATGAGGGCCAGCCCCTGGGAGGTGTTTAGTAATGTCGGCACTGCTCCTCGGCCTGTATCCCCCTCCCTCAGCATTTAAGTGCCCCACCCTTCAGGGAGCCCCTTGGGAACACCCCAGTTGCATCCCCCACCCCAAAACCAGGGGACTCCAGACATCAATCAATCAGGCTGCTATGCACCCTGGGAGCAGGACTGGGTGGCAGAGCCCAGGAGCTGCACATGTATTTGCACAGGGAACATGGAGGAAGGAGAGAGAGGTTGGTGTGGGTTCAGACCTTTGGAGGCTGCCGCCCACCACAGGACCCCTGTGTTGTAGGCAGAGCCACTGGGGTGGGCCTGGAGGCAGGAACAGACCCAGCTGTGGGGGGAGCAGCTTTGAGCTGGGTGGCTGGATCCAAGGGGTATGAAAGGGACAGGGTCAAGAGTTATCTAAGGCCAGATTGAAGGACTGGGGCCCAGTCATGATCCCTGGCCAGCTGCTGGGACCTGCACCTTGCCCAGTGCCCTCCACCCTGCTGACCTTGGGCTGGTCCCCTCGCCCACTTCTCCTTCCCCAAGTCACTTGCCACCATGGGCCCAGCTGGCCATGTACAGGGCCTCTATATTTAGGGCCTTGGCAGTTTCCAGGCTGAGGAAGAGGAAGGATCAGGGCAAACCCCAAAATAGTCCCAGGCCTGTTTCCAGGGCCATGAGCATGAGAGCCAGTGGGTCACTGGTCAACCTGAGACTCAGCTCCTATCTAGCTGAGTCTCCCAGGCACCCAGGGATGGGACACATGGGAGGAAGCACCACAGGATTTGGCAGGCTGTGAAAGGTGTTGGTCATCAGGAGCACAGCTGTGCCCTGGGCCCTTCAGAGCACTAAAAACCCATGTGCTGGAAGGCAGGTGGTAGCTGTGTGATAATGGCTCTCTCCTCAGAACTGTCTCAGTCAAGATGGGACTCTGTGAAACGTAGTGAGCTCCCCATCCTCAGAGGTGTACAAGCCCCAGCTGGAAGGGATGCTGCTCAAGAGACTGTCTGGGGGCTGATGAGGCAGTGAGACAGGCTCACCACCACCCCTGCCTCCAGCACTCAGTGAGGACCTCCCATCATCTTTAACCCCTGCCATCCCTGAACCAAACTTGTGTGTGGCATTTTCAAGGCTGGGTCCCCACTGAGTGCCACAGCAAGCTTGTAGCTTGCTTAGGTCCGGCCAAATTCTTGGCCTCTTGGCAGCAGACAAAGTGGATTTCAATCCTGACTTCTTTACCTACGTGCTATGTGGCCTTGGCAGATGACTTCTACATCCTGAGCTTCAGTTTACCCATCTACAAACAGCATATCTACCTTATAGGGCTAATAAGAAGATTAAATGGAAAGGTCCTCAACACCTCTCTTTTTTCCCTACTAGGGATCAGATGTCCCTCAGGGCACCTGGATGCCAAGAGGAAAGAAACATGGTCCCTACCCTGTCATGGGAGTAGGGCACCCAGGAAGGAGCAATCACTACCAAGGGCTTCGTTCTAACTCCAGTCGACCATCTGGAGGCAGAGAACAGGGGCAATGAACCCTGCCTGAGGGCACCAGGGAAAGCCAGGGAAAGGAGTGGAAATTTGAGAGGGGTCCTGAAGGATGAATAGGAGTTTTCTGGGGGACTCTGAAGAGAACTTGAAGGCCCCTAACTTGTGCAAAAGCAGGACAGTGAAGGGCAGTAGCCCAAATGTAGGAGATGGAGGGGATCACAACTGGATGAAAGAGCTGACAGATCAGAGCTGTGTACAGCAGACACTCCCAGAAACACAGAGGAAAGGAGGTGAAGAGAGGAGAGTAGGCAGGGGGCAGGCAGGGCAAGGAAAGAAATTCAGGAAGCAGAATCAACAGGATTTGGTGGCCCCTCCCCAGGGATGGAGGTAGCTTGCCCAGAGACCTGAGGTTGTGCAGAAGCCAGGCAGGGCTGGGCAGGAAACTGGGCACCTTGGCACTCAGTAAGCACAGTCAGGGCTTCACCGCCCTGAGTGAAGACAGCCTAGAGCCAGGCACTAGGGCCAGTGCTGCAACGATGGGGAGAGAGGCGACAGACAAGGGGCTGCTCCTCCCAGCTGCCACCAGCCAGAGCAGGCCAAGCTTGACCTAGTTACCAGTGCCAGAAAGGGGGGAACCAGGACTTGGAGGCTAGGCCTGGAGGCTGAGACCCCTTTCAGAGCTCATCTGCCTCCCCACCCCCAAGACCCCATTCTCAACTCCTGCCCCACCCCCAGAAACCCACCTTGAGATGCCCATGCAGCCCCCTCCTTCACCCATTGCCATGGCAACTGCTGAGCCTGGCCTGGTCAGGCCCAGGAGGCCTTGTGCCTACGATGCACGCAAGCAGGGAAACTCACAAAAGCCACTGTAATGGGAAAGATGCCCTCTCCTCTCCTACTGCACCCCCCTGTGCCACCCCGCTGCATCCAGGAGCTAGCTGAGGAGCCCAGGGAGGGGAGGCTCCAGGCCAGCAGACTTTGGACCCTATGCTGCCTCCCGGGATCTCCTTCCCCGGCCCTCGGCCCTCTAGGTAGCCAGTGCCCCTCCAGCTTGGTACTTTCCACACAAGGATTTCCACCTCCACTTTACAGAAGGGGAAGCTGAGACTTCAGGGACAGGGAACTGCCTAAGGCTGCTAGGAGAGAGCCAGGGATCAGATCAGGCAGCTCAGGGCTGGGACCTACTGAGGATAGGACAAGGGTTCCTGAAACCTCCTCAGATCTGGCCAGGGACCAGGGAAAGCCGGAGAGGTCACTTAGGCGCCCTAGACTCAAGACCTTGCTCTGCCACCTGAAGCCAGCCTTTCACATCTGAGCCTCGGCTTTCTTACTGTAAAATGGGCCGATGATAACTGCCCTGCTGGGTAGTTGTGAGGATTAAAGGTGATGGCTCAGGTAAAGCTCAGGACACAAACAACACTTCCCATCCAGCCACCTCATCTTGCACCAGCTGGCCACCCTACCTACTCATCCACTCTTCTTGCCGGTCCCTCCCTCCACAAGTGCACAGCAGGAAGCCCCGGGGTAGTCCCTGGGCCCCAGGGCCTGTTTTCAGGTGCACACTCCTGGGTGCTAAAGGTTCCGGAACTACTGACGAAGACCCCTCAATTCTAGGGGAACACCCCCACCTCCTCTAGCTACACCCCTGGCAGTTCACCCAGACACGAACCTACCATGTCTCGCCTCACCCCAGCTCCAGTCCCATTAAAACCCCTTCCCCTTTTGAGCGGCAGTTCTCTCCCTGCCCACTCACTAAGGCCCTTACAGGTCCCCGCCCCCCTCTCCAGTCACCCCGGTCCGGTGCTCTCAGCAAATCTTTCTGTCCCCATTTCCCTGCCAGTCCCCCACCGCGACCACCCTCGCCACACCCTCGCCGCTGATCTACTTGTGGGCGGGTCGTGTGGACCCTAGAAAGGTCAGGGAGTGCTCCTCCCTGAAAAGTTGGGGCTCCCACCCCCGGCCGTGCTCACATGTCCTTGGCGGGCAGGTTCTTCCCCTCCACGATACGGATGGACAGCGAGCTGCGCCTGGCCATCGCGGTCCGCGAAGCGGGGTCCTCGTCGCGGGGAGATGCACGCCAGGGTCCCGGGCAGCGGGCGGCGAGCAGGCTGCGGGCCGCGGTCTGGGCGCCGCGGAGGGCGGGCCGCGCCAGGCAGGGGCGGCGAGCGCGGGGGCGAGGGAACCACTTCCACTTCATTCACCCCCGCCCGCGCCCCTCTCACGTGCGGGGGACACTGCGCCCTGGCGGGCCAATCGGCGGCAGGGGCTCCCCGAAGTGGGCGGGGCAGGCCCGGGCCGCAGCGCTCACTGGCGGCCTGGGCGGGGGTAGGGGCGGGGTCTTACCGTAGTGCTGCCACCTGGAGGGCTCGGGGAGCACTGGCGGGCGCCCTTCTGGGCGAATTGAGTCGCTAGGGTTCTCGCGCCACAGGTACGCGTGGGCGGCGCGCGTGGGCCGAATGCCAGTCCCCAGGCGCGCAGGGCCTGTGGGCCAGTGTTTGCCCGGAGGCTTGGGTAGGTGCAGAGACACGTGGGGCGGGGGTGGGGGGCGTTCGAGGAGGATCGTCCTGGCCCCCTGCGCCCGACGCGTGGGAGGCCCTGCATAGGTGTAAGCTGAATGAATAAACAGCGGGATGAACTTAGCAAACAAAATGAGTGTTTGTGTTAGAGCCGCCTGCACCCAGAAGGAGACAGCGAGAGCTAGGGCGGCCCAGAGGTTTGGAGATCCCGCATTCGAGTCTGAAACACTTGGATCATTTTTGAGAACCTGCTTGAGCGGAGGGGTCTTTCTCAGTTGTCCCTTCATTGACGCCTCCTTCAACCCCCTGCGGTGGAAATCTGGATGAAGCTCTCAAGCTTCCAGAGGGAAGATTACTTGGTGGATGTCTCACAGCTGGCCCCAGGCTTAGTCTGTCAGATCTCCACGACCACGGGCCTTTCCACTGGAGCATGATCCTGCTCCCAAACTCAGTGTCCAGAGCTGAATTTCTAGAACTGTGCCCCTTCGTGGTTCCAGATCTGGAGGTCACAGTTCTGGGGCCGGCAGAGCAGCGACTGGCATGGGGCAGCTGTTTGCCGTGGAGGGCATTGCCCCAAGCATGACTGCATGCAGACTTGGGTCCCAGACCCAGTTTCACCACTCCCTTGCTGGTTGACGCGGGGCAGCTCGCTGACCTTCTATGAGCTGGTTCCATTTCAGCACCTGCCAAGAGGGAGAAATGACACCTGCCAAAGGCACCCAGGAGACTGTGGGTTGGGGGGGGTGCCTAACACAGGCTCTATTTTATGTTACAGTCTGTTTTCTTTTCCTGTTTTGTTATTTATAACTAAGTGTACACCTCACCAAATTCAGAAGATACTGAAGACTTACAATGAAATGCTTTCAGTGAAAAGTTCTCTCCCAGACACAAATTCCCTACCCCAGGCATCCACTATTCCTGAAGTTTGTGCGTCCTTCTGGGGACAGTCTCTGCCTACAGGGCATCAGCAGACTTGTTTTTTAATTTTCTACACAAACAGTAGCTTACTGGTTACATTTAGAGTTTCATTTACTTCATCTTGGACAGCCATGCATATCTCATACATAGAGGTAAAAAGCATCCTCATTCTCTTGGCCACCTGCCCAGTTTTCTGTTGTGTGGATGTGCCCCCATCTCGTTGGTCCGTCCCTTGTTAGTGGACGGGCAGGTTTTTGTCATCCTTTGCTTTCACCAAACAATAGCTTGGCTCACACATCATGTTGCACATGAGCGAATGCTGCCAAGGACAGATTCCTAGAAATGGAGTCCCTGTGTGGGTGGAAACTTCATAGGATTTGCCAAATTTCCTGCTGAAGTGATTGTTCCAGTGTGCATGGCCACCACCATACAGGAGAGTGCCAGCTCTCCTGTGTCCTCACCAGCTCACTCCTTATCAATCTGTGGTCTTTGTCTAAGTCATCAGTGAGAAAATAATGGTTTCTCGGGGAACTTCGGGCTGTCATTTTAGGTGGTTTTTTAGGACCATTCGTTATTAGTCATCCTTGGTTACTGAGATTTGCGACCTCAGCTTGTCACCCTTCAGGCATGTCTTCTTGTCTCCCTGTCCCCCTGTTATTCCACCACCCCACCCCCCATTTGGGGCCAGGTAGATTCGGGCTCACTCCAACTGTGTGTTGTTACTGAGGTCTTGTGGGTGAGCGGTGAGCAGGGAGGGCCTCTGCCATGTCTAGTGTTCAAGCATTGTTAAGCAGGCTAATCCCTTCACCTAGTCTGGGCACACATCCCGAGGCCAAGCTAAGGGAAGGGAAGCCCAAGCTGGGCTTCTTGCGTCCACTTTCAAGACCCAGGCTTGGCTCACCTCCAGTGCTGGGCAGTTTACCTCCTTCAAAGGCCGCTCTGACCATCTTCCAGCTGTTAACAAGACCTGGACCCCTACCCACTGAGCTGCCAAGGGTGGCCCCTGGGGCTGTTGTCCCCAGAGCATTCAGCCTCTTCAGCTCCAAGCCAGGCTCCCCTCTTCCCACCATTTGTTCCAGTCCCCACACTGACCTGGTCACTGTCCCCTTGAGAGCCACTACTTTCTCATGGGCCTTTCTGGAGTGTAGCTTCCGGAGTGGGGCTAGTCCCCCTTGCTGTGCTCTGTGCTGCACAGAGCAGACATGAACAGACCAAACTCTCCCTTCTTCTGGGCACAACACCTTTAATGATGCCACCCAAAACTTCCTTCAGGTTTTGGGGGCCATGCTTCCTGGGCCCCTGGTTCCAAGCAACAGAAAGCAATTCTGACTGAATAGAAAAGGGTTCATTAGAAGGTTATTGAGTGTGTCACAGATTCTCCGGGAGGGCCAGAGAGCCAGGCCCAAAGGCCACACCCAGCCAGAACCAACACCCCAAATCCCATGCCAGAAATGGCTCGGTGCAGACACCCCCACCCACACTGCAGGCCCTGGCCACGCCACGCCATGCCACTGCTCATCCAGCAATGACATTGGACACCACGTTCTGTGCTGTAACTGCAACACTACTGTCTGCCCTCATCACCACGGGCTAGGAAGCTGTGACGGCACTGTCAGTCCTGCACTGGGCCGGGGGGCTGCCTCAGAAGTCAGGGTGGGTGAGAGGAGGGCCCTGGACAGAGGAAGGAGGGCAGGTGCTGGGCATCCCAGAGAGTGGTCGCATTCACTGCAGGGTCTGGAATTTCCCCATGTTGACTCCAGATGACATCCCTTCAGCACCCACTAGATGCCACCTGGACCCAGATCACCCACATAGTTTTCTCATTTGGTTCTCATGCAACTTGGGAGGTAGGTGCTGTCACCCCCTTTTCCCTGAGATGCCCATGAGGTACCCGACATCCTGCAGTGTGCTCCACTGCAGGAGGAAGGGTGACGGCTCCATGGGGGCTGCCGGGTAGGTCTCAGGTTATGCCTCCAGCACCATCATTTGTGGGCAAAGGCTGTCGCCCACCCATCCCCATTCCCTGACACATCAAGCACTCCCCTCTGGCTGCCCTGGCCCTGGCCCTGTGGCCTGGGGGCACAGCCTCTGAGCACTGGGACTCCCGGGGCAGAACATGGTCAACAAAGAGGATTCAGCCAGGGAGGCTGGCCAAGCTATCAGCACATTCCCAGAAACCAGTCTCTGGGGAGGGATGAGTCAGCAGGCGGTGACCAGAGGAGAGCTCGGCCCAAGCTACAGGCTGTCTGGACCCTCCATCCATGGGGGGGTCACAGAGAGGATCCTTTTGCTGAGCAGACCACTGCCTCATTTCCTCTCTCCTTCATTCATTCATTCACTCAGTATCTGCTCCTGTAAACAGCATCCATTGAGCACCTACTGTGTGCCAGCCCTGGCACTGGGGATCCAAAGAAAAACCAGCCATGATCCCTGCCCTCAAGAGGTTCACAGTGGAAGGGAAGAGGGGGATGTTAAAGGGTGGGTAAGTGCCAGGGCCTAGAAATGAATGAGGGAGATAGGGGTGGTGGGGGGCACAGGAGATCTTCGGAGAGGAAGAGACATTTGAGCAGGGTCTGGAGGGATACAGAGGTGTGTATGATGTGGTCATGTCACCAAAAACCAGTCCTTGTCAGCAAAGTCAAATCACAAAACACAATGACAAGGTTTTGAGGAAAGTAAAGGAATAGTTTATTAATTTGCCAGCAAATGAGGGAGTGTCCGTCTCCTGCCTTAAAGATCTACTGTCTCCCCGAGAAACAAGCAGATAGGGCTCTAAAGGGGAAGTGGTGGGAGAGAGGCTGTGCGGTTCACAGACACAAAGTAGCAACATGCAGGGATCCGAGCAGACATTCTTGCACCCACTCAATTGCTCTTTGTATTTCTTATGGGTGCATCCTCAGTCCCCTGGGACAAGCGAGCTTGGGTTCTGCAAAATCAGCCTTTTGCATTCTCTTTGACCCCGAGGCTCGGAAAACAGGGAGAACAAAGAGAAACTGCCACCTGTCAGTGGTTCCAAAGTTTTGGGGGCTTCTTGAGTTCATTTTCAAGTTGCCGTTAGTGTTAAATCCCAGAGATTTAATTTAGCTTTCCTCTGTTACAGTCATGGTGCCCGTGGAGGGCTCAGCGTGAGCGAAGGTGTGCAGGTGTGATGAAGGCTAGGGTGTTCTGCAAACATCCAAGAGGGAGGTGTAGGAAGCTCATGGAAAAGCAGGAGGATCCAGCCAAGGAAGGGCCTTGACCTCTGGGGGAGAGCTCAGGCGTTTTCCTGGGGTTGGGGCAGAGGAGTGTCCTGGGTGGACTTGGGTGCTAGAAATGTTAGGTGGCTAACATTTTGACTTGTTAGCCTAGGAGTCTCTTTCCAACCCTGAACCCATGTGCCTATAACTTACGTAGTTAGTTCAATGGAGTACCCCTGCCCACATATTTTTAGGGACCCACAAAAACATTGTAATTTCTTTTAGAATCAGAAGAATAAAATGAATATAATAGTAATGCATAGGCAACAACGAATCCAGCCTGTCTTGTATTCCTTTATATACCAAGGCAGTCGCAAAATAGAAGTTTTAATATCTTGATGCTCGCCTGCCAGACTTGCCTAGGGCTCATGAAAGTCAGAGTGCTCCCCGGCCCAGGACAGGAGGCCGCTCTTGAATTTCAGTGCATGCCTATGAAATTTAAGGCAGATCAGTGACGTTGGAAGAAAAGTGAACTGCAGAGTCTAGGTCCTCGAGCGCCATAGAAGCCTTGCAGGGACCTGCGAGACAGC